ATATATATATATATATATATATATATATATATATATATATACATTTTGCATCTGAGATAAAAATTAAAAAAAATTGTCTTACAAAATGCTCTGTCCAGAACTTCCCAAGTGGAAAAGTTTTAGATTCACCTGGTTTTATGTTGTGAAACATATACTTTAAGAACCTTTGACTATCCAATTATTAATCGTTGACAGATTAATTGATTGCAGCCCTAAATGCAAATTGTTTTAAAATTCTGTCAATGTTCATCTAATCTGCTCCTTAAAGCTAATCAATAAAGGTTCCGAATGGGTCTAGAACTATTTTAATAAGACAATTCTATGAATCATTTATCAGCCACTGCATTTAGAATTTTTTTTATCTATGCCAAGTTGTTAAAATATTGTACATTTACTGCAAACAGGATATCTCATTATTTAGGCTTTAGGTATTCATAATTTAAATAGAGGAAGCAGAAGGACTTTTGTATGGAAAAAAATAAAAACAATTCTTAGTAGAACTTAGTGATTATAGACATGATCAACTTTTGTGTTAAACAGAAGGATCTTTTTTCAAACTGAAATATTACCTGACATCCCAACAGGAGACTTTTGCGCATGTTGGCCACTCGGATCATTAGGCAGGGTCGGCCCTCGTGAAATGACACAACAGCATGTTGACTGAACTTTACTGTCTCGCCTCTCTTCTTGGGACGAGCAACCTAAAGAGGAGTAATCTGAGATATAAATGGGTTCTTCCTTCCAAAATACTGATTTGAAAATAAAAATGTACTTCCTGCAGCAGTCATTATATGTTACATATGTTGTCATTGCTTTACCCTCAGAGAACACAAGAGTAGAAGTACATAACTTCAATAACTAAAGGAGGAAACCGTTTTTTTTCTCTTCTGATAGGACTGATAATGATCGCTGAATAAAACCATACTGTGTGAACACTGATAACTTTTAATGCTGCGGTGTAATAATGACGATAATAATGTTTCCACTGAAGTCTGCGTTATCGCACACTTTGTTAAAACTCTTTTTGATTCAATTCCACTGTTCTGTTTCCCAGTTGTAGTACTTTATCCTTCATCGTGCTTTTGAAAGGTTTTCTACCAAACCTCCACACTATACTGTAGGTGACGCCGCATTTATTTCTGTACTAAAAATAAAAATAAAAAACTAAATTACTTTAGCAAGAAAGGTTCCAGTGATGAAAATCTCCATCACCATAGTGATGACCAGCTGAACAATAAGGAGGACTATTGCTACAGGGCACTCCTCTGTGATGCACCGGAAACCATAGCCAATCGTAGTCTGGGACTCCAGGGAGAAAAGAAAGGCTCCTGTCAAAGTCTTCACCTCCATTACACAGGGAGTGTGATTGGATGGAGGGTCAAACTCTGGAAATAGAAAACAAGGAGAAGCATTTTAGTTTCAACCAACTACCAAAGAGAAGTTTTTGATAATTATCTTGTTTGCGTGTCTTAAAGTTTTCCTCATTCACAACAAAACACTTTATTTTTTGTTGATTTCAAAAGAATCTTTAAGACCTTCAGTGGTATTTGACTTAACATATTCCAATCATGTGGAAATCAGTTACTTTTTTCCAAAGATCACACTAAGATGGAGAGGGGTCTGGTCCCAGACCTGCACAATGTGGTCCCCTGCACTGTCAGGACCATAATTTAAGGCAGATGTTTTATTAGTATTCTGGAATAGCGTGTAGTACGTATGTGCTGCAGGATTTTATTATAAGAAGTTATATATTTTTTTGTGTTTATTTTTTGAGTGTTCCCTACATTTCCCCTCTTACAGACCAAGAAAACCGTAATTTATTACATAGTTTTTTCGGTGAATTTCCTTGACTTTTTATAATATCATCTGTCTCCTACAGAAATAAGCTTCAATTTTAACTCCCGCTGGAACTTCACCAAAAGTGAAATGCTGCACATCTCACTATGAAATCTTCTGTTTTGACAATAAAAACATTTGCAATAAAATCAAATAAATTAATATTTGAAAGTTTGTTTTGTGTCTACTGTTTTCTCCAGTGTTGTGGGGAAGAAAAAATTACGTTTTTTTGCCTATTTTGCTGATATTCAGTAGTTCACTGTGAGTACACGAAGCTAAGTTAATTTGAAATCAAACACCCTCCATTGGCAAATCTATGTGGTCCAACAGCCAAGGTAAGAATACGCCACAAACCATACTTAAAGAATAAAGAATATATAATGCAATATTTGGACATGCACATAGAATATAGCTTAATAAAAGAACTGTCGCGATTTAGTTATTTGATATTTTATTGTATTTT